GGAGGGGGAGGGAGATGGGAGATAGAAGTGTACATTTGATTCAAAGAAGGGTGGATGGAACCTGGACGACGAGGATTGAGAAGAGAACGACGAAAACATGGATGGCAGGAAGTGGTGGAGAGAATGGTAATTGTGGGGTGGGCCATGGCAGCCCATGAAACAAGAAACATGTTTGTTGAATATGCATCTGATATGCGATGATCAAATGTACATGCCACTATTATTCCTCCACACTTAAGTGCGGTTGTCTGAAATTGAAACATTTAATTATCATAACTTTAAAATATATATATATATATATATATATATATATATATATATATCAATTCTTCAAATTAAAATGCTAAATTATATATATTCACTATAACATATTTTCATAAAAAAATAATACAATTAAAGATTGATTTGAATGAATTCAGTCGAAATTTTATTATTCTTTAAAAAAATAAAAAGACTATGTTATCAAAATTTAAAGTAAAATAATCACGTTCTCTGTTCGAAATTTTTTTTGTTACCGTACATGTTTGATATGATTTTTCGGGTAAGTTCGCTAAGTTAGGTTTCTGGATTTGACTTTGGGTCACAGAAAAAGATTCAACACCTAATTTCTTTGCCTAGCTGATTAAAAAGTGGGGGAGAAAAAGTTGAAAATAAAATATAAGTTATGACAGTGACATGCTAAAAATAAATTAAAAAGTATAAGAACATCAAAATTGTGAACTATTATTAGTTTATTATATACGTACTTTTGTTTCCGTTATATGCGGGGATTAATGCCACAACAACAGCCACTGAGATACTAACTACTTCATTTGAGTGTAGTAAGACTATAGGATTAATCAAACACTAATTGTGTTCCAAACAAACATTCTAATCTTAATATTGTGATTCAAACCTGTTCCAACACCAATAAAAATACGTTTGTTGCAACTCCAAACCTAATAAATCTCTTAGTATCTCTCCCTCTTATATAGGATTTAATTATTTTAAGAAAACATTATTATGAAAATATAGAAAATATTATATTCTAAATTAATGGACAAACTCTTCTTCATATATTAAATGAGTAGTTAAGCAATTTTTTTTTTGTATGAACGAAAACAATGTTCCTTTACAAATAGAAGTGGTCAAGAATTAGCTTGATTCAATGAATTAGTTACTTTGTAAGCTCTGTATTTTTTTTATGAGCAATGTAGATACTTCTGAACTAAAATTTAAACTTATTATATGATATTACTAATTAAACTTAATCAACTGTTTTTTATTAGTCCCAGTAAATGATTTTTTAGAACGGTTCGTTTAACAGTTGCTAATACAATTGTATTGATTTTTCAGTGCACTAATTAAGCCTGAATCTTTTAATTCACTGCATGTTATGATTTTCCTAGAGTTAATTAGGTATATTGAAGAGAAACGTTTTTCCTAACGTAAATATCCAATATTTAATAATATTTCTTCCTTGAATAGAATTAAAAGCTCTGTGTGGAATGCGTAAATAAAAGAAATACTAAAAGAAATGAAATGAAAATATTATAAATACTGTGATAAAAAAAAATTTATAAGAAATGCTATGAAAAATAGGAAAAGATTCAGAAAGTGTTAAACTATACTCCGTTTTATCATTATAATAAAACTTATCATAATAATAAGATATGTAGTTTTTATTATATTTAATTTTCATGTGTATTAAAATTTAAGCTATGATTCATATATATACATTACATTCATTATATATATGTACAAAATATTACAAACATTTCAGTAAAACTCTCTTTTTTCCATCCTTTCTATTCTCCTTACTTTATATATCACTCTTTGCATTGAGAAAAAAATTGGGTGAACAGCAATTCTAATAGACACCTAATTAAATTTAATAAAGAGAAAAATTAAGCATGATAAATGATATAATATTATAGAAAAATATAAAATGAATATTATAATAACATGTTCGATATATATATATATATATATATATATATATATATATATATATATATATATATATATATATTTATGTATATATATTTATGTATATAGAAAAGGATGCTATACTATTTGAGAACCTCAAAAGCAAATTATAGAAACGTGGTAAGGCTTGAGCCACAAAATCGTATCAAATGTATCTGCGTTACGCTGTCATCTATATACATGTGTGATGATTGCCGATTGCACTGACAATGCAAGTAGGTGGCATTAATTATAGGCAGCTTTATACTACAACACACAACTTACAAGATTCGGAACACATACAATTCTCTTAGATAAAATTCAACTTGGACCAATGTTTGTTCTTTTAAGGAAGTACTAAGTTTTGACATTAAACACCGTTCATGTGAACACGCGGAAAGGAAAGAAAAAAATGATATTTAGACACCTAAGAACTTTTAGCACTGAAAGAACATAAATTATTTATATCATAAATGTGATATATGAGTTCATATCATTAAAAATTAAAAATGTGAATCTAAGTGTGATAAATATAAGAAAGTCTATAACATAATTTTTTTTTATAAATTTATTGTTTTAAGATTTTAAATTAAAGATGATAATAATTATTTATATAAATTTAACGCGTAGATATCTTATATCTTTTGTATGAATCCCGTTTGAAAGACCATAAGACATAGCCACCAACGTATATATATCATGCATATCAACCACTATTTAGTTAAATGCATGTAGTACCTGTACAACAAGCACACCATTCTTCTTCTTTGGAACAAACTTGCCTTCAATAGATTGGTCTGGGTTGTAAAAGTTGAGGTTCTTGAGTTCAACATCTGCCTGAGCTTCAACAAAATCAACACCACGATTGTTACAGAGAACTTCAGGTTCACCCATGCTGTTGAGCATGACTTCACCTGCAAACACATAATAAGAGACTAGGGTTTGTGCCAAGGCCTTCTTCAAAGACCCCACCATGGTTCCAAAGCTGATTTTGTTGGTGGCACTATCTTCCATGGGTTTGGATGTGATAATAGGGTTCTTGTAGCAAAAGAATACTCCTACATCCAATGGAGGTAGAAGCAGGTCAAGGTTAGAGAGTGGAAGCCAATGTTCCTGCATTGGTAACACTGCTGCCACCACCTCTTCGTTCGTCACATGCACAGAAAAATCTCCATTTTCAGAACACATTTTTTTTTATAAGAATTGTTATAATCTAGGACAAGATGTGATCTGTGTTATAGTTATAATTGTCTTGTGTATTATTTATAAGGCTAGTTTGGATGGTAG